ATTTTGTAGCTCGTGAAATTCTCTATCGAATGGTATATAATAGTTGGAGTTTTATATGACTATGATAGGAAAAGTTTTTTATGAAAGTAGAGAAGGGTCTATCTTCTCATAGGGAAAAATGACTATTTTTGCTATAACTCAGCAATGGTTCGGCCAATCATTCTCATCTTCGAACTCGACCGAGATATTGTTAAGACTAAACTGTGTAGAAAATTTCATCGCGATCGGACTCTCCTTTCAAAAGTTATCGTGTTAACGGCCGGACGGCCGGACACACTGACCGATTCTAGAGTGTACTCACTTTTTGAGTACACAAAAATAAAACTTTGGACTCGGGCTCGGATCAGGTCCGAGTATGGAAGGACCTGCAGCTCCCTAGTCATGATTCTCCTAATTGAATACTCGACTGAAGCAATATCTAGAATCATAAATGAACACTGATCACATCTTATAACTTGAATATTTGGTTCTTTCATATAAACAATAGTCTTGTTTTTTTTCGTTGTATAATTTAATATAATGTCTTGCGGAAGAATCATGCTGAAGAAATGGTTCTACGTGAGTTACTCTGAAAGTTTTTAGGTTCTTGATTAAATTTAATAGTTATATACTAATTTAGTATTTGTGGTAGTAGACCCGAGTCTTATAAGAAAGTTCACAAAGTTTTTGGTTCTTGAATATTTCTCCTTTCGTTTTGTTGTAGATTAAGTGATATTATACATTGCCCGAGGGATATCGCTATAGTTTTAAATAGAGTAAATAATGAGTTTTATACCAAACGAAAGCTCATCAAAAATGAGGTTTATTGGTACTAAACAAGAAGAGTTATGAAAATTTTCTAATGTTTGTTTGGTATAAAATTCAACATTTACTCTATTTAAAATTCTAGCGATAGCCCCTGGCGAAATATTATTTTCAACCTAATATCACTTAATCTACAACAAAACTAAAGGAGAAATATCCAAGAGCTAAAATTTTGTGGATTTTACTCTAAGACTTGGATCTACTATTACAACTATTAAACTCATATATATCTATTAAATTTAATCAAGAATTTGAAAAATTTTCAGAGTGACTCACGTATTATATGTTTGATATAGTATTTACTGGTAATTATAGGACTATGTTAAATAAACTATAACTGCATTTCATTATAAATATTCACTCCTATTGAAACTATTAGAACCAAATGATCTAAATTATCATTTCGTTAGATTTTTTTTCAATGTTTTTCTTAGTAATTGATTACTTCTAGTATAATCTGTATTTTTAATACGTTAGTATGTATAAGAATAAAATCATATGTAGTTTGTAGTTATCATAGATTTCTATAAAAGATTGCATAATTGACGATAAATTGACTGAGTCCTGTATCATATATTTTTGAAATAAGAGCTGGATATTATCGATGTATTGGTTATTTCTTCTATTCTTGATGTCAGATTCCCGTTCTCGTAGATCTCTGTATTCAATTTACTTATTAAATTCGTATATGATAATTCTTTTTGAATAGGCATGACATTAATCTATGTATAATGATGTTATTTTTTTCTAGAACCCAGTAAAATTATCACATTCACGTGCTTATACTGTTCCATTTGTTGATCGTAAGTTTAATTTAGAATAGATTTTAATAGAATAATTTTTATTGGATATTTTATTTTAGCTCCCGATGGCATTTATTTACGTGTAACAAAAGATATTAAGTAAATTTTATTTAAATGTTTAGTTTAAATAAAAATTTTATTGATGAATTTTAGACGATTAAGAAAAGAAATTCCTCAAAAAGAAATTCGTCGTATTGCGCGTGCCCCATGGAAAAAGCTCAATACAAATTTTGTCTCGTATGTTGATGACGATATTGTTGTATTAGATTAGATAAATGTGCGTATTTTTGGCTTTTTTTTTGTATATAATACGTATATCAATATGTTTTTCTTTTCGTA